AGAATGACAGTTTCCAGCTGCATCCGTGTCCCTACAAAGGACATGAACTCATCCTTTTTTATGACTGCATAGTATTCCATGGTATATATGTGCCACATTTTCTTAATCCAGTCTGTCACTGATGGACATTTGGGTTGATTCCAAGTCTTTGCTATTGTGAATAATGCACAGGAAAGCAAAAAAAGAACCCAAATAGCCAAGGCAATCCTAAGCAAAAAGAACAAAGCTGGGGACATCACATTACCCAACTTTAAACTATACTACAGGTCTACAGTAACCAAAGCAGCATGATACTGGTACAAAAACAGTCACATAGGCCAACGGAACAGAATAGAGAACTCAGAACTACGACTGCACACTTACAACTATCTGATCTTCATAAACCTGACAAAAACAAGCAATGGCGAAAGGATTCCCTATTCAATAAGTGGTGCTGGGATAACTGCCTAGCCATATGCAGAAGATTAAAACTGGACCCCTTCCTTACTGTATTATACAAAAATTAACTCAGGATAGATTAAAGACTTAAATGTAAAACCTAAAACCATAAAAGCCCTGTATGACAACCTAGGCAATACCATTCAGGACACAGACACAGACAAAGATTTCATGATGAAGATGCCAAAAACAATTACAACAAAACCAAAAATTAACAAATGGGATCTAATTAAACCGAAAAGCTTCTGCACAGCAAAAGAAATTATCAACAGAGTAAAAAGACAACACACAGAATGGGAGACAAGTTTTGCAAACTATGCATCCAACAAAGGTATAATATCAAGCATCTATAAGGAACTTAAAACACATTTGCAAGAAAAAGACAAATAATCCCATAAAAAGTGGGCAAAGAACACGAACAGACACTTTTCAAAGGAAGACATGCATGCAGACAACAATCATATGAAAAAAAAGCCCAACATCACCGATCATTAGAGAAATGCAAATCAAAACCACAATGGGGTACCATCTCCCACCAGTCAGAATGGCTACTGTTGAAAAGTCACAAATTAACAGATGCTGGTGAGCTTCTTGGGAAAAAGGAGTGCTTCTACACTGTCGGTGGGAGTGGAAATTAGTTCAATCATTGTGAAAGACAGTGTGGAATTCTTCAAAGAAATAAAGACAGAAATACTATTCCACCCAGCAATCCCATTACTAGGTATATATCCAAGGGAATATAAATAATTCCATTATAAAGTTAAATGTATGCATGTGCTCACTGAAACACTATTCACAGTATCAAAGACATGGAATCAACCTAAATGCCCATCAATGATAGACTGGATAAAGAAAATGTGGTAAGTATACACCATGGAATACTATGCAGCCACCAAAAAAAATGAGACCATGTCCTTTGCAGGGACATGAATGGAAGCTGGAGGCCATTATCCTTAGCAAACTAACACAGGAACAGAAAACTAAATATCAGCACGTTCTCACTTATAAGTAGGAGCTAAATGATGAGAACACATGAACACAGAGAGGGGAACAACACACAATGGGGCCTATTGGAGGTGGAGGGTGGGAGGAGAAAGAGGATCAGGAAAAATAACTAATAGGTACTAGGCTTAATACTTAGGTGATAAAATAATCCATACAACAAACCCCTCATGACACAGGTTTACCTATGTAACAAAACTGCACATGTACCCCCGAACTTAAAATAAAAGTTAAAAAAATTAAGATGGCTTTTCTCAATGCACTATTCAATAATCTCTATCATGACTTTCCGAAAACCTATTTAGCAGGACACATTGTATACACTATCGGATGCCCAACCAAAATATATCTTCCATTTCTTTTGTACTAAGACTGTGCTGATTTTGTCCAGGTATATATGAGGAATGTGCTCGGGGTAAGTGAGTACCACTCTATCCTGAGGGTAAGAATTATACTTAATATAATTCACTCATGGTTAATTCATGACCTGATGTTAGTTATTGGTTTAGTGTGGGCATGTCCTGAGAAATGAGGCATGAAAGGAAGTTTGCTCAGAAGAAATGTGTCTCTGTGTGTGTTTTCCTTCTTAAATAAAATGAAATAAAATTAACAAGATGCTCTAGAAGTATTGAATTTACTGCCTTTGGTCAAAAGCTATAAGGGCAAGATGACTGGAGTTATTGTAAATATTTTATGATGACAAAATCCAAAGGAATTAGAGAAGCCCTTTTAGAAGTGCTGCATGTTTGAACTGCTGAAGTAATCAATCCTGGACACACTTGCCATATTCCAGACAAATTTAATTGAATATTCTGTTTTTTTAGAGTAGAAGACACCTAATGGACACTCCTATCATAGATATCTTAATGAAAATGTTATCCTACAGGCATGTTTATATGTCACTAGGTATTTATAAGTGATTAAATGCTTTTTTTGAAAACAAGTTCAAATCACATATTTATATGTGAGCACATCTGTTATGTTATATAGATCTAACATTTGTTATTTTTGCCTACTTGAGCCTATTTCCTTTTTTTCTATAATATATCACCTCATTTTTTTTTCAAGTCACTCTGTTCTTCTTCACAGACCATGTGGATCCTGTGTAGTTGACTCTGCCCTCCCATTCGTAGGTTGGGTACATAATCCAGGACCACATACATAGATTCGTTCAGTGATGTACAGATAAACCAAGCCATAACGTCAGGCTCAATTTGGGTATTTTCACTTGTGGGGTTCTTTGTATGGCAGTATTTAACCTAGAGCAAGTTGGCAGCCATCTTGCCACCACGAAGGGTCAGCTTATAGGAGAATTTGCACTGAGAAAAGCATAGCTGCAGGAAGGAAAGAACATTCCTGATGACATTATTTGCCCTCTTGGATCCAGCACTGTCTAAAGAAGCAATAGTCCCAAACTTTTCAGTAATGTTAGTTAATAAATCCACTCCACATTGAATTTCTTCCATATACAATAAAAAAAAGTCTCACTTGACACTCCTGCCTAAAAGTCCTGCTCAGGACCTATTTAGAGAAGACTTCTTTCCTTATAATTCACTATATAAATCATATGGAACATATAGAACTGTTACAGTGGCATCATCATACTTAGATTATGATGCCTAATTAATTAAAATAAATAATTATTTTAATTAAAGTTTCCTAAGTAATTAAAAAAATTCCATAGGTCTTATATTGAAATTATTAATGATAATCCTAGATTAGATACATTTTTCAGCATACATTATTTATTAATTTCTTTTATGATGGAGTTTTTGAGTAGATAGACTGATGCCTATCAATAATACACATTGTTCTTTGAAAATGATTTATTATTCTCTGTATTCACTGAATGTTAATCCTGTCTTTATTCATTTAAGTTTTTTTCCCGGATTGCTGTACTTTTCTTTTTAGACTTTTTCCACAGCTCTTCATATCTGAAGATAACACCTCTTCCATGTTTTTAATGTTTATCTATTGCCTTTAGCACTGTATAATGGATGATTAATTTAGTTCATGTTTTTTTTTTTTTTTTTTTTTTTTTTGAGACGGGGTCTCACTCTGTCACCCAGGCTGGAGTGCAGTGGCACCATCTCGGCTCACTGCAAGCTCCGCCTCCTGGGTTCACGCCTTTCTCCTGCCTCAGCTTCCTGAGTAGCTGGGACTACAGGCACCCGCCACCATGCCCGGCTAATTTTTTTTTGTATTTTTAAAAGAGATGTGTTTTCACCATATTAGCCAGGATGGTCTCGATCTCCTGACCTCCTGATCTGCCCTCCTCAGCCTCCCAAAGTCCTGGGATTAGGCGTGAGCCACCACGCCCGTCCTCAGTTTAGTCTGTCTTTTAATGCACTAGTTTAAGCTGCTATAGGAGTCATTAAGTTTTGCATGCTAGTTATCAATTTTTATATTTTAAAAGTTTATTTTAATTACTTTAAAAATAACAGCTAGGACAGCTATCAGAATATATATTCAGTTGCCTCACTGGATTCATATATCATAAACATTTTTAGTTCCTTAGGTGTCCTTCAATTTTTGCCAGCTGTTCTGTGCATTTTAAGAATTATATTTTTGTATATTTCATCCATCAATTTTAAGTGTCCTATACACCTTAAAGAATAGGGGTATCTTAACCACCACTTTGCTCCACCTCTGTTTCTTTCCAATATAACTATTATTCACAGAGTTACCGTGTAACCTTCAACATTACTGATTCACTGAGGTTTTTCAGAGGGTGCATATTTTATTGGTAACAAGGTATGAAAACAGCATTTTTTAAAAACTCATCTGTGATTCTATTTTTCACTTTACCTACTTTCAATTTAGTTACCTTACTACTTTCATGTTCCTTTTTGAACGATTATAAAATTTTAAATGAAAAATATAATACAAATAAATCTATAAAACAAAACAAAATACCTGTTTTTCTCTTCTTTTTGTTTGCAATTTACAGCATATTTTATATACCTTATGTTATTTTTGGTCTTTCCAAAATCAAGGTAGTATACATATTCATTTTTGGCCAAAAAAGTGACCCCCAAAGTGGCGATCCCTGAACTTAATGCTGGTCTAGTGCTCTTCTATTTGCACCAGACAAACTGGAATATTCTGAATGTTTTAGAAAGGTCAAACTAAAGGAATTAAACTCTACCTTGAAAACCCTTTAAAGTAATTCTATCAAGGAATTCTCTAAATGAAGGTAAATATGTTGAAATTGATGAAAAGTATGCTTTCCTACACATTTAATTCTGAATTCTGAAGTATTTTTTTTTGTAATTGTAATAAAATTTGTTGATGGCAAATAATTTCTTATTTATCACACAAATTAACAGCATATCACTTGGTGAACATTCTACACAGAAGCAATTTGGATAGAATTAATTCATTTACATTTAGTAGCTTAGAAGATTTGTTTTACCTGTTTAAATGTGAGACATTGCCAAAATTACAGCAGACAACTACAGAGAAGAATAAACCATAACCTTAATATGGGAAGCTTATTTTCATTTTCAAACAAAGTAACAGATAATTTTCTCACACTATTTAAAATGGATATTACTTACAGCTGCATCTGCAAAGGTCTCTTCATAAAACACTAGCATCAGAGCAAACTGTACAACTGTGTATATCTTTAATAGCTGAGATGCAGATGATGAGAAGGGAACATCTTTCCCAGTGACCTAGGTAGACAAGAAAGAACCATTTCCTTTATATTGCTCCAGACTTATTTCTCTAACTGAAATCCACACTAAGAGAGATATTTAAAAAAATGTACTTGCTATTTTTTTTTTTTAAAAGGCTAACATAATTTTTTTAAAATAGAAACTTGTCTGTAAGTTAGGATACTTTTTTTCCCATTTTGAAAGCATGACAATTATGATGTAGTCTGCCTTAAAGAGCAGCATAAGAACTAATTCAGCAAAATGTGCAAATAATAAAGATAGTCAAAATGAATGGGATGGATCTTCCCTATTTGATAATATGTCCATGATCACATATGACGGCAAAAGCAAAGTAAAAGAAAAAACAGAAGGTGGCCGGACGCGGTGGCTCACACCTGTAATCCCAGCACTTTCCGAGGCCGAGGTGGGTGGATCACTTGAGGTCGAGAGTTCATGATCAGCCTGGCCAACATGGTGAAACCCCATCTCTAGCAATAACACAAAAATTAGCTGGGCGTGGTGGCATGCACCTGTAATCCCAGCTACTCGGGAGGCTGAGGCAGAAGAACTGCTTGAACCCAGTAGGCAGAGGTTGCAGTGAGCCAGGACTGCATGACTGCACTCCAACCTGGAGATGGGGGACAGTCCCCCCCAAAAAAATAAATAAAAAAAAAAATAAAAAAAAAAAACCACACACACAGGGAGAGAAGGTAATCTTGGCAGTGTAGGTAATCATACTTCAAAGAAAAATACTATTTTATTGGAAACAACTTTTGTAAAGTTATTTATTGGAAACTTTAGAAAAGTTATTTCCAATAAACTACATTTTTACTCTAGCATTTGAGTTTCCCCAAAATGCTACACATCTATTTTTTTAATGCAGACTCCAGGACTCATATAACTTTAAAAACAGTATTCACTTTGAGTTATCTACTGACAAAAAGAAAAACAATAAATGGATCATAGCAAACAGATTTTTGGAGTTTAAATATAAAAATTATTTCACCTATATCAAGTTGGTGGATGTTACACTACTAATTATGAACATAAACAAAAGTGTCTGGGAAACTTATTCCAGGCGGCTTTGGTAACTGAATGAGAAAATGTCATTACTTAGATTAGGATTTTTTCAAAATAGTAATATTTAAATAAAACCTCTTATTTTGTTTTATTTCCTTGAAACATCACAGGCTAATTTTATACACATAGTATCATCCTTGAAATTAAGAGTAGTTTAGTCTTCCTATTGTTTCTGCATTACTATACATAACATTTATTTGATAAGAAATCACAACTTATATTCTAAATGATTAAAAAGAAACTTCTCGGCCGGGCGCGGTGGCTCAAGCCTGTAATCCCAGCACTTTGGAAGGCCGAGACGGGCGGATCACGAGGTCAGGAGATCGAGACCATCCTGGCTAACACGGTGAAACCCCGTCTCTACTAAAAATACAAAAAAAAAAAAAAAAAAAAAAAAAAAAAAAAAAAAAAAAAAAAAAAAAAAAAAACCTAGCCGGGCGAGGTGGCGGGCGCCTGTAGTCCCAGCTACTCCGGAGGCTGAGGCAGGAGAATGGCGTAAACCCGGGAGGCGGAGCTTGCAGTGAGCTGAGATCCGGCCACTGCACTCCAGCCCGGGCTACAGAGCAAGACTCCGTCTCAAAAAAAAAAAAAGAGACTTTCTTTTTCAGAAGAGTAATTCTGGGTGAAAACTGAGTTTTTCATTTGGGTTCCTCTGTTTTAAAGATCTGGTTTTTTTTTTTTTGTTTTTGGTTTTCAATGTGGTTTCTGCATTTAATTCTTCTACTCTACTATAAAATGAATATAGCTATGGTTTGACCCAAAATCCATACTGTCTTGATGTGACTTTAGATACATCTGTTCTGGGGGCCTCATTTCTTTGTGAGTGGAGTTAAGATTAGACTGACTCATTCCTAAGGTTGCCTCCATCTCTAGTGTTCTAGGACTCTGTGTCTGAGCGGCTTGTATTTGTGAAGTTATGCTCTACACAAAGGCAGGCATTCAAGTGGATATGAAAACCAGCCTCTGTAGCTCTGCTCCACAATCTGGGCTCCCAGGCAAAAGGCAGTGTTCACCTGGGAGAAGGTACTCCTTTAATTGGCACATAGTTGGTGGACACTCACTAAGTTATGCACCACAGGACTGCATCTGACCGGGGGAACATCTTTTTACAGATTTGCATGAAAATAGCATATGTACAGGCTGGCTGTAGACCTGACAGTATGAGACTAATCTTCACCATCTCCAATTCTGTGAACTCTATTTACCTCTGGAATTTCTTCACTTAGACCAAGTCTTGGTTTACCTGGACCCCATCCTGGTCCTTTAAATATGACAGACAACTTATTAAAGAATCCAGGTGTGGCCCGGAATGTAGTCCATATGTAAAATAAGTGATGGAACTAGAAAGAATAAAAAAGAGCTTATTTCAAATAAGATAAATAGGACAGAAAGAATAAATACCAAAGATTATGTATATTTTTTATTGTTCAAGGTAATTTACATATATTAAAACATACGTTATGCATGATTAGAGCAACAGAAATTAATGTGTAATTGCATTCTGTGCTGTAATCTATTCTATGTACTGTGTACCATTAAGTGTGTTTCTGTCAGTATTTCTGAAGTTCAATAAAATTGTAATTTTGAAATGTAAAATCAGGGCAATTGTTTAGACAATCAGCAAAGTAGAAAAAAATGAGTTAAAAGGCTTTGCTTCCAATAGAATTAACTAGCACCCGGTGCACTCAACATCCCTCCCTAAGGACACCTTTTCTTTCTTTCTTTTTCTTCAAGACAGAGTCTCACTCTGTTGCCCAGGCTGGAGTGCAGTGGAGCGACTTTGACTCACTGCAACCTCTGCCTCCCGGGTTCAAGTGATTCTCCTGCCTCAGCCTCCTGAGTAGCTGGGATTACAGGCGCATGCCACCATTCCAGGCTAATTTTTGTATTTTTAATGGCGACGGAGTCTCACCACGTTGGCCAGACTGGTTTTGAACTTCTGACCTCATGATCCACCAGCCTCGGCCTCTCAAAGTGTTGGGATTACAGGCCTGAGCCACCACGCCTGGCCAATGACACCTTTTCTAAGTGTTGCTCAATGGATACAAAAGTTGAACATGGAAACATATAAAGATTGAATATCTGTTTAAAATTTTAAAATATAAATCTTTACTATATTGTGTTACAGACAACACATATTCATAAAAATACTCTAAGTAGTTTGTGATACTAGACTTCTGAGTATTAAATAGTCCGTATTCTGTAATTAGAGATCGAAAAGTTTTCTAATTGAGGCAAAAATTCCCTTTAAGTAGCATAACAGGAATCCCACATTCTTTAAATATCGTGCATTTGACATGGATAGAAATTAAAAGTGGCCAGGCACTGTGGCTCACACCTGTAATCCCAGCACTTTGGGAGGCTGAGGCGGGCGGATCACAAGGTCAGGAGATCAAGACCATCCTGGCAAACATGGTGAAACCCCATCTTTACTAAAAACGCACAAAAAAAATTAGCCGGGAGTGGTGGCGGGCGCCTGTAGTCCCAGGTTCTCAGGAGACTGAGGCAGGAGAATGGTGGTGTGAACCCAGGAGGCGGCGGAGCTTGTAGTGAGCAGGGATCGCGCCACTGCACTCCAGCCTGGGTGACAGAGCGAGACTCCGTCTCAAAAAAAAAAAAAAAAGAAGTTAAAAGTGTGCCCACATGTGATAGGTGTTCAATAAATGTTTGCTATTTATGACATATATATGATCATAATGCACCAAGAGACTAAAAAGACTCCTAGAGGTTGAGCATCAGCTATAGACTCTAGAGACGAGTTCTATGATAATTATAGAAAGAAATTAATGGAGAAAGAAGTTTTGGCTATATCAGAATTTGTGATTTTGCTAGTATTTTCATTGTGTTTTGAATGAGTTGAACCATTAAGATTACAAAAAATAACTTAAGAATTTATTAAAATATCATAATAAGGAATCTGAAGCAATTAAGAAATAATTTAGAACAACCATTTATGCCTAATGTTCCATTATTGGAACGCTAAGCATGTGGGAGTTATTTATATCCTACTACTCAAGGTCATCGCCAAGGTCTAATTGGAAAAATTCAAAAAATTGCAAGCTCAGGCATAAATGGTTAATGGAATAGATCTGAGGAATAGGTAAATGATAGGCGGAAACTTCACCTGGGGCTTTGCAATAATAATGATACAGAAAACTAATGTGCTTATAAGTTATAATGTACATTAATATACTTATCTGTTTTTTAATTTTGGAAACTGACTACAGTTTTTTTTCTATCATTCTAGACACAAGCCATGAAAAATACATGGTAATGTTTTAAATGAAAATATTGTTTTTCACTTATTTATTTCCCAGTGCTCTGAAAATGTGCAATACCAAAGGAGGGCAAGGTGAATTATTTATGCCTAATAATAAGGAAAACAAACAAACAAACAAAACCCTATGTCTGTTGGAAGTCATCCTAAGTTGCCTTGATGCCTCTGCAGAATAGGTGAGAAATTTACCTGTATATAAAGGAATGGAGGTGAAAATAAGTGAATGTTTTTGTAAGTTCAAGTATTCCTAATTATCACAACTTGCCGGCTTGACATTTCTGACAATATAAGTGAACATGTAAAACACTAAACCTTAGACCCACTTGTGACAATTACAATGCTGAAGGAAATGTGAGGGGAAAGACCTGGAGAATTGAACCTAACACGGTTTCAGCAGCTGTCCATAAATACCTGTGATTTTCTGACCACCGTTCCTTTCAAAATACTAATCATCCCACTATTTGTGCAGCTCTTATTGTATTTAATATTCACTTTCTCATTCTGTCTCAGTTATAAACCCCCTTTTTCTCAGCAAGACTGTACACTCCCAAAGCCTTGCCTCTGAAAGAAATCACCCACCAACCAGCAGCACTGGCATCATATAGGTGCTTGTTTAGAAACACAGGATCTTGGAACAGACCACAAAACTACTGAACAGAATCTGCATTTTAGTAGGATCCTCTGATTCACATGCACATTAAGTTTATAAAATTCTGCCCTAGAGGATAGAGATGAAGTTATCTATCTCTTTTTTAATGACTGCAATAAGGAGACCACTCCTATATGAAGAAAAGGTAGCTTTCAATGTACTCTTTCTCAATTGGTTTTATTTACACAAAGCTTATTATTAAGAAAGGATCCAAAATATTTGCTTATATTCTCCTGAGAGATGGATCATATTCTTAGTAAGTCTAATCAAGATAGAGACACAGAGAGAAATGCCACGTAGTTGAGAAGAAAGAAGAGAGATAATTACCTTTCTTCTTTTGGTGTACGAGGAGATAAAAATACCTTTCACTGAACAACTGAAGGCAATCTGTTACGGCCTTTTATGTAAAGAGGTAGCACAGTGTATAGGTTAAATTGAATTCAGCCAGTCTTGGGCTTAGCTTTCAACCCACCTTGGTTAAGCTTACAGCTAACAAGTTTTGTAATTTTGGGTGAATTATTTAAATTCTGGGAACCTTGGTTTCCTCCACCAGAAAATGGGAATGAAAAGAGCCACTGCTTTATAAGGTTTTAGTAATAGCTACATTAAACATTTTTCTGCTGCGCTGTTAGCAGTGCACATGGTAGAAGCCCAATAGACGTCAACAATTTTGTTATTTCAACTTTCACTGAAACTCAAAGTAGTCTGGAAAAGCTGACCCAACATGAGCCAGTAATTTCCTCACTTACCGAATGTTGTAACCAGTCCCCTGAACAGAGCTGTCATTGACCAACCTCTTCAGCTTTTCAAGTATTCTTATCTTTTTCTCATTTACGAGTGCCTAACCCCAGGAGTATTTGTGGTGGTCTGACTCTGACAGATCGGAGCTTCACAGACATTCCTGATTTCTCTAGTGCCAACCATTGAGACCAATGAACAACCAGTACCACATGTCTAACAGAAAACTGGTCCAGTCCGACAAGTCTTAGCAAGTGAGGTAATGCACAGACTTAACCAATCTGTAATAGTTCCTGACACTTGGGTCCAAGAAGAGTAACGCAAAGCCCTCATGTTGAATTTCTAACCAGAGTCATGCACCCTGGAAACAAATATTTTTCTTACTGTGGGTTCAGCCTTAATTATACATGTTACTATTGCTCCTACTGAATACATGAATATATTTCAGGTCCATTCTGAGAAAGGATATGTTTAGAAGCCATTTTCTTTGTCATTCTAGGCAGTAGACATATTTGAAAATTAGTTATTTTAAAATATATTTTGCCTGATTTGATTCAAACTTTTGTTTGTGTGATAGAGTTATATCTAAATTTTTTATAGTTAAAAACTTTTTTTCAGGTTAGTATAATATACTATCACTTTTCAACAGCTGATTTTTCTCTTAACTGTAAGATTTATGAAATGATATAAATGCAGAAAAAATAAAAAACAAGTATGTTACCTGCACTCTGATTGGTTCAAATGTATTAATGGGATGTGTTAAGCCATATACAACTTTTTCATTTTCTGCTTCAAATGTCCCTGGAAGATAAATATTCAGGATATGAGATTTGGCTTCCTGTAATTGAGGGAGATGATTTAATTTTTTGATTTTAATACATTTTACTTACCAAAAATTCTATCCCAAATAATAAGAACACCAGCAAAATTTTTGTCTATGCAATAACGATTTCTGCCTATGAGACAAAATATTAGAAAATTTTTTTTCAGAAAAATAGTTATGCTTTTTGAGATACCTTCATCTTGTTTTTAGAACATATTCATAAAATTCAGATTTAAGCAAGAGTATAATTTCCCTGGAAATGTCTTCTCATTTACAACATCAGATTTTATTCTCTAATAAAGGAATTTTTATTTTTATTTTTCAATTAATTGTACTAAAAAGGGGAAGTGTTTTCTTAAAGCTGTATGTATGTTTTCTTGTCACCATTTTTCAGTATAAAATGGAATAAATGTAAATAATTTTTTTCAGGACCTTTAAATAAAAATTAAGAATGAAATGATATCAAAAATTACAAATAAGAAATAAAATAAGGAAACAATGTATGTAAATGTGTTTTTATTTTAAATTTTTGATGAGATGTCTCTCTATCCCTTTTCTCTGCATCTGTTTCAGGAAGGAAATTTTCTACTTAGAGTGAGACTTGACTAGTTTTTTGAAGATCATAAAAGCCATAGTAAAAAATAAACTACCCTTAATTTTTTCAAAACTCATATCATATATATTTTCCTACTGCCAAATAATCAAATTATAATGTAAATAACTGGTTATTATTTATTTAATACATTTTTTATAAAACTTAAGTAGACATGATGATATCCATATGACTGTAAATCTAAAGAAAAAGAATAATTAATTAACCAAACCACAACCCCAAGAAACTCAACTATCCTGAGTTCCCATTCCTTTTCCTGGTTTCCATGTATGCAACTGCACATTTGAATGCACAGATACAAGGAAAAATCTCCCATAGTGTAAAAGTAGAGATAGATTGGCTGAACAGATGCAGACACTGTTGCTATATACATGGTTTATATAATGGTTCTGAATTAGTAAGGAAGAATTTTGCCCCTTAAGGAACATTGGGCAATTTCTGGAGACATTATTGGTAGCCACACCTGGGAGGGGATACTAATGACATCTAATGGGTGGTGGCCAGTGAAGTTGCTAAATTTCCTACAGTGCACAGAACATCCTCCACAACAAAGAAGTATCTGTCTCAAAATGTCAACAGCGCTGAAGTTGGGAAACCCTGATATAAGCAGGTGGGAGTGTAGGAAAATGCAGTCAGAGGAAATAGCATCTGTTTCGTTTTGTAATGTGGACTTGTTCTTCTTGGCTCCTTCTATTTCCTTTTATATGGAAGGAACTGCAAGTGTATAATCCCCTTGGCCTCTCCACTTCCTTACTAATTAGAGATGCTTCTTGACTTACGGAGAGGTTATGTCTCAATAAACCATCTAAATTGAAAAACATTAAAGTCAAAAATGCTTTTAATCAGAGTGTGGTGACTCAGGCCTGCAATCCCAGCATTTTGGGAGTCCGAGGTGGGCGGATCACCTGAGGTCAGGGAGTGTGAGACCAGCCTGATCAACATGGTGAAACTCAGTCTCTACTAAAAATACAAAAATTAGCTGGGCTTGGAGGTGTGCACCTATAATCCCAGCTACTCAGGAGACTGAGGCAGAAGAATCGCTTGAACCCAGGAGGTGGAGCTTGCAGTGAGCCGAGATCGTGCCACTGCACTCCAGCCTGGGCGACAGAGTAAGACTCTGTCTCAAAAAAAGAAAAAAAAAAAAGCTTTTAAATAAGCCTAATCTACTGAACATCATAGCTTAGCCTAGCCTGCCTTAAATGCGCTCAGAGCACTTATATCAGCCTGCAATCTTAGGCAAAAATCATCTAATACAAAGCCTATTTCATAAGAAAGTGTTGAATATCTCACATGGTTTATGGAATATGGTACCAAAAGTAAAAAAAATAGAACGGCTATATGGGTTCTCAAGGTATGGTTTCTACCGAACATGTATCACATTTGCATCATTGTGAAAGTGGAAAAATCAGAAGTCGAACCATCATAAATCAGGGACTTTCTGTCCTCCCTGGAGTTGGAGAATGACTGTTGAGTTTCTAAGAGGAAGTCGCTTGTGCTCTCTGCCCTGGCCTCTCCTCCTGTGGAAGCCTGTGCTTCTGCTCGGCTCCCTGCCATAAACATAGGGCCCTGCCCTTCTTGGAAAGGCAGGGCTTCAGGGATTCAGGGTTGCCGAGGAAGACTAGAAACATAAAAACAGAACAATAGCACTTACTCACGTATTTATTTTACTGGCTTCCTTCTCTCAGTATTGTTTGTGAGATTTATTCATGTCATTGCATATAGCAATGGTGTGGGCATTTTCATTGTTATATCATTTTCCATTACATGTATGATATAAAATTTATCTGTTCTACTGCTGAAAAACATTTGAATTATTTCTGTTTTTTCTGTCACAAATAATGCTGATATGCACGATTGCTCTATAGGGCTCAGGGTACACAATGTGAACATTTTTGTTATTACTTAAGTTGGTGTCTTTAAACCTTAGGCACTAGCCACTTGGGATTTTCTCCTTGTCAGGGAAACACAGCTTATATTGAGATTGTTCAAGGCCTTAGGCAGGAAGGTTTATTGGGCTCTCCTTAAATCAAAACAGTTTTCAAGACCACTAACTCTCTGCCTGTAGATAGGAATGACCTTCAGCCCTGGGTCGAGGAGTAGCCTTTGACAGAATCCTTTAAAACATAAAATGTGCATCTCCTCAGCTGGTTAAATCATTTTCTACTATAATGGAGCTATGATTTAGGTAGAACGAAAAATCCAAAAGTCAGATAGATAAATCCCCCTACTCCACCCCACCAGTTCATACTTTGGAGATGAGGCTTGTACCAAAGAAGATAGAAAAGAAGACACTATATTTATTTGTAAAACATGGGCTGACTATATTGGGGGATTGTGATTAAATGAAGTAAGGCAAATAATAATGTAATTTTTAAAGAAATTAAGAGGAAAAGAGAGAAGAAATAGAACTTCCTTACCATGATGAACCCTATGATGGCTAGGAGTATTAAGAATCAGTTCCAAAGGACCAAGGTTATTGATGACCTGTTTAAAACAGAAGGAATATTTATACATACAGTTATCATTAAATGTGTATTAGTATATAAATACTCACATTAGAAACTCACATAAATTAAGAGATATTGCAAGTTTCAGGGTTGGTATCAGAGAGTGGAAAAAAGTTCCTCTGAAATCTGGAATTCATATAAAGACAATAGTAATCTCAAAACTCTATTCTGAGAGGCAGCATGGTGAGTATGGTGTCATGGTTAAGAGCTAGACTTTCAGTTCAGCTTCAAGAATCTCCACTTATTACTGTGTGATCCTGGGGAAATGACTAGGTTTTCATATCTCAATTTTCTCATCTTTAAAATGGAAATAGTAACATATCTACATAATAATGTTGTTCCGAAGATTATTAATGTTACTGTATTACATACCACTATCACCAAAGCACAATTCCCTTAGGTTTCATGTTGTGTTACAGTTTTTGCCTTTCAACTATGGCTTTGATTATTTATGAGAGCAGGGCATTACTAGGAGAGTGAAAACACTGTGTTATGTTTCCTGGAGTTACTTCACCCTGTAATCAGCCATGCAGCAACAACTTAATATTGTATCAGTAATCTATTACATTAGGGTGATCCTACTCATTCAAATAGAATACTAAATCATCTCTTACCTTTCAAGGCATCGTCTACCATTACATCTTAGAGGTGCAATTCAAAGTCAAATATGTAAAAGGGCCTTTTTTCACAATTAAAGTTACTTCAGTATCTAGTGCCTTACTTTCTAATTAATTCTCACAACATTTCTTAGTAAGAATCCCCTAGTTCTGAGTCTGTAAATTCTAAAAATCGTAGGAACCAGGTAGGTGTCATGAAAAAAGTACAGCAGCCCACATGTAAGACATTTGGTATGTTATATTAATAATATTGAACAACTTGAACATCCACCAACCATGGCAGATACCAAGATATTTTACTTTTCTTTATTCACAATCTAAACTGATTTGTTAGAGCCTACCAATGAGAAAATCAATACATTGTCACGATATTTTAAGACATGACTCACTTTTAGGGTTAGCTTCCATTTGCAGGACATATGAGGAATAAAGAAATGAGTTAAATGATGCTAAAGGGAAAAATAGTCACTGACAATTATGACGCTGATATGAATTTGATAGTAAGTCAGTGCTGTGGGAAGAAATAGAGAGAGATGGGACTGTTTAAGATGAAAAAATATTTAACACACATAACTAAATTTAAGGTGTACACCTTGTTTAGATATTGATTTGAACAAACCTAACATAAAAGACATTTTATAGGCAATAAAGAAAAATGTATTATAAACAGGGTGCTATTAATAGATGATAGGAAAAATATTATTTTCATTGGGAGTTATAAAGGTATTGCCATTGTGTTAGAAGATGTGTTTGTTTAGAGTTGTATAACTGAAATATACATGAGAGGAGATCCAGATTTTGCTATGAAATATTTTGGCAATGAAAAAAGAAAGAAAAAAAGGATAACTGATGCAAATAAATCAAAATCTTGAGTTTTGAAACAAAATGATGGAGATATATAAATTTATTCTGTTATTCTCTAATTTTATGAATGTTGGAAAAAATTTAAGTTAAAAACTTAAATAGAACAAATTGCTAGTAATGTCCATAAATGCTCACTAAGCCAACTGGAAAATAATAGATTGCCTAAGTCTCACACATATTTCTAATTCAAAACTCTTTATCTAGTAGGGTTTAATTATTGTTTGGCAATCTCTGATTAAAACACCCAATTTACAGTTGCTCAATAAATGTGAACAGTTAGGGTGACCATACCATATTCAGCTTGTAGCATCACGTACCCTCTTGAAATGGAAGCTGTGGCAATGTTGCCACATGTCAAAACTTATCCTTCTCTGGGACAGAGGCCATCAACATCTCTCCATTAGGCACATTGTTTACCCACCTGAAAGAGACAGTTCTTGCCTCTCTCCCTGTTGCCCAGCTGCTAAAGGATTTCCAGTTTCCATTACAGAACAGACAGAAACATTTGCATGCAAAATAATGTATACTGTATTTTATGTGTCCGTTTAGCTCTCCCTCCCTTCCTCCCTCCTCCCTTTTCCTTCCTTCCTTCCTTTCTTCCTTCCTTCCTTCCTTCCTTCCTTCCTTGCTTCCTTCCTTCCTTTTTTCTTTTCTTCCCATCCCTCTCTCTCTCTGTGTCTTCCTTTTCTCTAAGGTCTTATCCACTATTTTTAAAATTATTTCCATGAGAGATATATTTTGACCTCCAAACAGCAGAACTTTTGATTAATTCACACGATGGAGCTCATTTATATACCAAAGATTATCTGTGTTTTTAATTTCAGGAGTTTAAACTACCATGAATGTATAGTTCTTATAAGAGAATATATTCCAATGAAATAAAGCACAAGAAGCATTATCCCACAAATACACTGTTAATAACCAGGAATTGGGAAGAAGGTATAGATGAATAACCCTGTATTTGATTGGACTACATTGCTCTCTACTTGGTGAAAAACTATTTGTTAAGAAGAATGGTGAAGAATAGAGAACAAGAAAGTGGGGATCCTCAGCAGTCTGGACATTGAAATCTGATGCTTTGGTTGGGCTTTGTATCTATGGCAGAGAACCAGATGAGAAAGGATAAAACCATTTTACCCTTGTTTGTCCCTTTGGTGCCTAACATGTGTTACAAAAACAAACAACAAATGTGGGTGGAGAGGACTACACTGACCAGCTTCTGCTCCCCAGATGCATTTCTGATCCTAGGCCCTGGCGTGTGTGCAGCCAGATGTAAAGCCACACAAATGGTGAGTGCATGCAGATGACTGGAGCCTTGGCTGAGTGCACTATTTTTTTTAATGTCAAGCCCTTTTTCGCAGTGAAAATCTTTTGCTCCTGCAGGCTAAAGGATGGTGATACCAACATTGAAAGTTCCTTTTTAAAAAAATAGTTAAAAGCCAAGTACAACACAGTCAACCACAGATAAATTTCCTGGTAGTGCCTATGAGTACCTTGGAGCTGGGGAAGACCACCTCTGAGTGAGAAATGATTCATCATTCCGACAGCCCAGTCAGAGCCTCTCATGTAAAAAACCCTTCCAATTCAAAGTCATGGAGAATTCATTAATATTTAATAAGGGTTGAGCATAACGACTTAATTATCGCCTACTTTTGCAAATTCAGCCATTTGGCAATTCGACGTCTAGCTTTGAATCACTTCCTGAAAATATGTTACTCTGGGAATAATTGTAGCAATTCTCATTTTTAGAAGTTATTTGTTTGTGTTATTTTTTAGACATAGATGCGTTTATTTAAATTATCAAATTTTAGGACATACAGAGGGCTTCAAAATAACATAGTCCAATACTTCATTATTTAAAAAAACCCCATAAAACTGAAGCTCAGAGAGGTTAAACTACTAGTTTAAGTTTAATCAGGTTGGAATAAGCCCTAAACCCTTTCCGATTTCAGCTCATGAATCTTTCTACTTATCTATCATATTGTTTTTAAGACATACAGCAATTTTCCATTGAATAAAAATACTTTAAACTTTTAGAACTTTAATAGAAAATGATAATTCCTTTTCTATTTCATATTAGTTAAAATGATGCCAGGTATTTATAAAGATCCCAGGGATTTCAGCTTCTAAACCTTCCCATATGGTATTTTAGGGATTTTTGGCTGCTCCTTTGGTCTCTGAAGCAATGCTCTAAATATTGTATTCTGTAACTGGTTTTTCCTTGGTCTTATAACTTGAGAACTATGGATGCCTAGAAGGGCCATGACGGGTTTCAGAAAGTCAGAAAAACCCTGAAGTTTTAGATGACATTTTGTAAATAAGTGCCTATGATATTTTTCTGGGGAGAAATTCTAGCATTTCTATTATATACTGAAAAGAAAGCATGAGTTCGTAAAGGTTTAAGAGCCAATGTCCTAAACAGAGTTGACTAGGTTATTTCCTTTGCCTTTCTTATTATATTGTGTTGTCAGTTTACAGATCAGTAAAACCTGAGTGCTATTTTCTCATCCAAACTTCACAGAAACTTAAACATTTTTTTAGCTCATTTCTTAAAATTGTTAAATTTTTCAGACTATTTCTTAAGCTGTTTTATTTGTAAAATAACAAATTATAAATATATACATAATACAAATAACAATTTTGTAACAGTAAGCTCCATGATGATTCACTTTCATTCAACAAAAATGCTCTGGACAATTTGTTGGAATGATCACAAACTCCTCATTTCTTCCTCTCCAATCTCTGGTGGAAGTGAGAAAGGAGAGTTAAATATAAAAGCAAGAGAAGAGGGAGCCATGAGACCGTTGTTATCTCATTATGTCATTTCCCCTGACCAAAAATAAAACGAAGCCAAATAAAAAGACTCCTTGTAATGAACCAAACATTGTCCAAACCTTTCAGAGTTCAAAGCCATTCACATTCTTTCTGGAGAGTGATTTCTAATGTTCTCTTTCTTCTCCGACTAAGACATTAACCTCCTAAAAGCTTCTGGAATCCTGCTTTTTCTCCAAGATCAATTCTCCAAGCATCCTTCTTGATTTTCCCAAGGAGAGTTTTGTTTTCCTTTCTCTGGATGCATATTGAGAGATCGTTAATTCTCATGTCTTCCAGTTCTGCGTGCTAGTTATTTGTTTTCATTTCTCATACTATATTGCAAGTTTCATGAGGATGAAAATTGTGCCTTACCATTCTCTGTGTTTCTCAGGTCACATACAACATTGGTTACACATCGTGATTGTTTGACAATAGTATATCAACAGATAAATCCCTCTTACTCCTCTCACACTCTTGTTTCTTTATAGCGGTGGTTCTCAAATTGGGGTGATTATCATCCCCAGGCAATTTTGGCAATGTTTGGAGATAATTTTAGTTGTCACAACTGGGAAAAGTGCTACTGGCATCTAGTAAGCAGTGGTTGGTTTAGTGCTGTTAAATATTCCACAAGGAATAGGACAAGTCCCCACAATAAGAATTATCTGGTACAAAATATCACTAG